ACACTTACAGCGCAAGCTCGGTGGCAATACCTTGCAGGGTTGGGGCAATGTTCACCAGGAGGCTGTATATGCTCTAAACCAGCATCCAATATATGGTGCTCTTTCTCCCATAGCCAGGATTCATGGGCCTAGGAATCAAGGGGTTAAAATGGGAGTGGCAGTACTCAGTATTACCCCTAGTGACCCCCTCACAAGATTTTGCTTTGTGTCTCCATGACCTTATGCTCTGCAGGTCTTGAGGTCTTAGTTCCAAAGGGAGGATTCCTCCCATCTGGAGACACATCACTGACTCAACTGAACTGGAAGCTAAATATGCCACCTGGTCACTTTGGGCTCCTTATGCCTCTGGATCAACTGGTAAAGAAGTGAGTTGCCATACTGGCGGGTGTTATTGATCGTACCAAGAGAAAAATGAAACGGGACCCATACTACACACCGTATACAAAAACTAACTTAAAGTGGATCGAAGTCCTAAATATAAATTGTAAAATGATAATGATAGGAAGAAAAAATAATGACAATGCTAGGAGCCCTAATAAATGGCATAAACAGTATGCGTACAATCACTAACATGCACAAACACCTGAAGACAAACTAGCTACTTAGGAGCTCCTAAAAATCAGACACTTAATGCTCGTCAAAAAACTTCAGCAAAAGTATAAAAAGATAATCTACTGACTTGGAAAAATTTTTGGCTATGCCATATCCGATCAGTGTCTAATCTCTAAAATCTATAGGATACTGTAACACCTCAACAAAAAAATATAAATATTCCAATTAAAAATCGGCAAAGGTAATGAACAGACACTTCACTAAAAATAAATTCAAACAGCTAACAGACATGTGAGAAAATGCTCAAGGTTGTTAGCCATTAGAGAAATGCAAATCAAAACTACAATAAGATACCATCTCACCCCAACAAGGCTGGCACTAACCTAAAAAAACACAAAGTAGCAGATGTAGGAGAGGTTGTGGAGAGATTGGAAATCTTATGCAGTGCTGGTGGGAATATAAAATGGTACAACCGTTTTGGAAAACGATTTGAGGCTTCCTTATAAAGCTAGAAACAGAAATACCATACAATCCAGCAATCCCAGTCCTAGGAATATACCCAAAAGAATAGACATATGAGCATCCATACTCATTGCAGCACTATTCACAATAACAAAAAGATGGAAACAACCTAAACGCCCGTTAACAGACAAATGGATGAACAAATTAGGGTACACACACACAAAGTAATACTACTCAATGTTAAAGAACAATGATGAATCAGCAAAACATCTCACAGCGTGGATGAATCTGGAGCACATTATGCTAAGTGAAATTTGTCAGTCAGAAAAGGACAAATATTGTATGAAACCACTATTATAAGCACTCAAGAAAAGGTTTAAACACAGAAAAAAAGCATGCTTTGATGGTTATGAGGATGGGGAGAGGGAAGGAGGGGAACTCACTAGGAAGGAAACAAAGATCAATTTTGGTGAAGGCAAGGACAACACACACTACAGGGGAGGTCAGCACAACAGGACCAATGCAAAAGCTAAAAAGTTTCCTGAACACATTCAAACACTTTGAGGGACAGACTAGCTGGGACTGGAGCCTGGGGACCATAGTTTCTGGGAACATCTAAGTCAACTGGCAGAACAAAGTTTATCAAGAAAATGTTCTACGTCACACTTCGGTGAGTGCCATCTGGGATCTTAAAAGCTTGTGAGCAGCCATCTCAGATAAAACATTTGGTCCCATCCCACTTGGAGCAAAGAACAATGAAGAACAGCAAAGACACAAGGAAAACATTAGCCCAAAGGACTAAAGCAACACATGAACCAGAGACTCTATCAGCCTGAGACAAGAAGAACTGGATGTTGCATGGCTACCACCAATGACTGCCCTGACGAGGAACACAACAGAGAATCCCAGACAGAGCAGGAGAAAAATGTAGAACAGAACTCAAATTAATGAAAAAAGACCAGACTTAATGTGCTGACAGATACTGGAGTAACCCCCAAAATTATGGCCCCCACATGCACTGCTAAACCAGAGCTGAAACCATTATGAAAGCCCATTCTTAGGGCAAAGATTAGACAGGAGCATTAAAAAAAAAAAAAAAAAAGTACAGGTGAGGAATGTGCTTCTTAGTTCATCAGATATACAAGGCCAAATGGGCAGCTCCTATCCAAAAGCAGGATGAGAAGGCAGGAAGGGACAGAAACTGGTTGAATGGACACAGGGAACCTGTGATGGAAGACGGGAGTGTGCTGTCACATTGCGGAAATTGTAACTAATGTCACAAAACAATATGTTCATAAATTTTTGTATGAGAAATTAACTTGAGTTGTAAACTTTCACCTAAAACACACACACACAAAGGGTGAGTTGCGAGAATATCGTAAAGGTAGTTATGTGTTTGCAGTCTTTCATTATTAAGTATAGCTTAAGGTCAAAGAACGATATCAGTATTGAATCCCTAAATGTAGATTTGTACTTCTCCATCCTGACTGAGATACTGTCCAACGGAAAGTTTTTAGGATATATTTTTCGGACACCACCTGAGACCAAGTGAATGAGAATGCATCATTTCTGTATTAACACAGAGATCATTGTGAAGCCTGCAAAAGATTGAACATCATAAAATAGGCAAAGTTTAGTTGGTTTAAGAAGGAACCTGGATAGCACAAGTGGTTTGCAACCAGCTGCTAGAGTAAAGGTTGGCAGATTGAACCCATCCAGCAGCGCTGCAGAAGAAAGAACTGGCTATCTGCTTCTGTAGATTACCACCAAATAAACCTTATGGAGCACAGTTCTAGTCTGTTACACATGAATTTGCCATGAGTCATGCTCTGACTTGATGACAGCTACCTCAAACAATAACAACAATTGACTTAGACCACACTCGAAAAAGAGTGAACAATATATACGAAAAGTGTTTGGAAATAGAGTATAAATGAAGAAATAAGTATTTGGATTACATTGAGTGTGAAAGCAGTTTGGTGATGATTAACTAACTTCCTAATTGCCCCCATGATATCTTTGTTCCTAAGGCTTCAGATAAGGGAAGATGCTAAGAAAACTATTTAATCACAAATGTGATCATAATTACAGATATAACAACGTAATACGATAATCTAAATCAATGGTAGATGTGCTCTTTACAACGTATTAATTTTCACAAAAACTCTGTAAGGTTTATATATATATAGGCAAACGTAAAAAATGACATTGAATGGTTCAATAATGTTCTAAGTCAAACGAAAACTTAAGTGATGAAGGCGTAACTCAAATCCAGGCCTAGAAACAGAACATGTGTAAAAAACAAAAAGCTAATACGTTCTATCCATTCAATTCAAACTCATAGTGACCCTAAAGGACAGAGTAGAACTGCCACAGTGTTTTCCGAGGAGCAGCTCGTGGATTTGAACTTCTGACCATTTGGTTAGGAGCCATAGCTTCTAATCACTGCACCACCAGGGATACAGATTAGGTGTAGTGAGTTAAAATCCTTGCATGTGTGTGAAGCAGGAAAAATTATGCAAACTCTGTGTGTCTCGGTTTTTTCCATCTATAAAATACTATGAGAGAATTAACACTTTATACACACACAGACACACACGCACATATGTATATATGTATACATATACACGTACATATCTATGTATTGTATATATATACATACACATACAACATATATATCGGGGTCCTCACAGTGTCATCTTTCCTTCTCAACACCTTAAAGAGTCCTTTTGCAGTAGATTTGGCCAACACAATATACTGTTTGATTTCTTTACTGCTGCTTCCATAGGTGTTGATTGTGGATCCAAGTTTAAAAAAAAATTATACATATATGTATATATATTTGCATATTGTAAACCTGGTTTTTAAAATGGATGTCACAAGTGTATGGACACACATAGAAATGAATGATATGGCTTAAGCTGAGTGATATAACAGATTATACATCACAACCGACTAAATCAACCCAAGCAAAAGTTCTTATTGAGAGAGCACACTGAACAACCAAATGATATAATTACTTTTGGAATGATTTTCTATCTGTTGATACATACATTACATAGATACTTTGAGCAGAAATTTCTGACAACATTAAAAGTGATTTTAAACTTGGAAATAACTGTCACTGTATGGAGAGACAAGGTGTCTTAGTAATCTAGGGCTACTATAACAGAAACACCACAAGTGTATAGCTCAACAAATGTAAATTTATTCTCACAGTCTAGGAGGCTAGAATTCCAAATTCCAGGTGACAGCTCCAGGAGAAGCTTGCTCTCTCTGTAGGCTCTGGGGGAAGGTCCTTGTCTTAAGGTCTAGGAGCTTGGTCTAGGAGCTTCTCTGCTTAGGGAACCCAGGTCCAAAGGACAGGCTCCCCTCCTGGTTCATACTTCTTGGTGGTATGAGGTCCCCCTGTCTCTCTGTTAGCTTCTCTCTTTTATATCTCAAAAGCAATCTACTCAAAATACAACCTAAAGTTGTGATTTGAGTCCTGCTTCATTAACATAACTGTCTCTAATCTTGCCTCATTAACATCAAAAAGGTAGGATTTACAACACATAGGAAAATCACAAAACAAAATCCATTGACTTCTATTGGATTCACTCAAATGACAAAATGACGGGAAATGGCACAGTGCTGGGAATCATAGCATAGCCAAATTGACACATTTTTTGAGGACACAATCAATCCATAATACAAGATGTAATTAAAAGTATACATCTTTTGAAATTTGATTAAAAATATGAAAGAGAGCAATTCTTATACATTTAATTCATTCTTCTGTTAAGTGAATTACTTACATAGCAATTTTCTCAGTGCCATTATGACATTCTTGTTCCTTAGACTATATATCAAGGGATTAAACATAGGAGTAAGGACAGTGTAGAAAAGAGAAAACACATTGCCAGCTCTTTCTGAGTGTCTGGTGTTGGTCTTAAGTATGTAATAATACCTGATCCAAAAAATAACACCACAACCGTCAGATGAGATCAACAGGTGGAGAAGGCTTTAGCTTGACTTGTGGCTGATGGCAACTTCAGGATGATGGAGATGATTTTACTGTAGGAGCCAAGTATCAACAGAAATGGAACCATGACAAATAACACAGAAACTATGTAGACAAACATCTCATTTACAAAGGTGTCCCCGCAAGCCAGCTTGAGTATTGGGGGAATGTCACAGAAAAAGTGGTTAATTTGGTTAGATCCACAAAACGGCAGAAAGAAAATCTGATATGTCTGCCCTATCATAATGGGGGTTCCAATGGTCCAGGAGCCAGAAACCAACTGGATACAGACTCTGTGGTTCATAACTAGAGGATAGTGCAGAGGGTTACAAATGACCACATAGCCGTCATAGGCCGTCACTGCCAGGAGTAAACACTCAGTGCCTCCAAACATAAGAACAAAGCACATCTGTGTATCACAGGCAACTAACGAAATTCTTCTTCTCTGAGTCCCAAGATTCATCAGCATTCTGGGGAGAGTAGTTGATACATAGCAGACCTCCAAGAAGGAAAAATTTGACAGGAAGAAATACATAGGGCTCTGGAGAGCAGGATCCATTTTTGTTGTTAGAAATGTGGTCCCATTGCTCATCAGGATAATGATATAGATGATTAAAAATAATCCAGAAAGAAACCATTGGAGATGAGGCATATCAGCAAAGCCTAAAAGAACAAATTCCATCAGTTCAGTTAGATTATCTTCTGGTCGTTTTTCTTGATGATTCATCTGTGGAAAAGGTAAATTTACATGTGCATTTCCTTTTACCTTCCTGTATCTCTTCTCTTCCCTAAATTATATTGAGGTGTCCGGATTGGATTTTATGACCACAACAATTGTTTGCATTTTAAGAATGATAATATTTATATATGTCCCACATCCTTCTGTTATATCACAGTAAACAGTGACCTAACATTTACTCTAAGATCATTTCGCTATACTTTTTGGAGCACAACCCAGATAGATCAAGCTATCCCTGACTCAGCACAGGCACTGGAGCTATTGACAACTGCTGGAGATGAGCCCTCAGCTTTCCATCTAGTCTCAGTGTAAATTAATTGCATGTCTTAACTAACCTATTGTACTTCCCTATGTATTTTCCAGTGAAACCTCTCAAACACTATGTAAGAAACTCTCTTCTAACATACATTTTCAACTGCCCATTTCAACACTTCATTCTTCCATTACTTGATGATTTTAAGCCTATACATTCCTATTATTCAGTTCATATTAGGTAGTTTAGAAAGCAAATTGTGAGAGTATTTCATTTTACATAGGGGAATAAAACAGGTATCTTTTTGCAGGATATTAAGTGGGTAAGATAATAGGATTTTATTCAGGGAAATTAGCCTGGGAACACTGATTCAAATAAGAACAATAAATGTAGTCACCCTGAGAAAACTATGATAGCATGGAAGGTATTTTTTTACCAGTGTGTGTGGGTATGGGTCAGGAAGAAAAAAGATATTAGCTGTTATGTTATGCCCATTGTGCTGTGTGTACTCACCTTTATTTTTGTTGTTCCTCAAAAAACAACACTTTAGACAACTGTTTCTAACCTCACTTTTCTTTAGATATAAGGATATTTAGACTCACTTAGAGTGGATAATTCGACCAAATGCACATAGGTTTTGTGACTGCAATTCAGTATCTATTTTTCCTTTTTAATGGACTTGAGTATGACTCTTACCTCCATGATTTACAGGCATACATCATTTTCTTATACTTTGCTTTATAGTACTTCAAAGATATTACTTTTTTTTTTTTTTTTAACAGGTTGAAGGTTTATAGCAACCTGCATCTAGCAACTCTGTTGGTGGCATTTCTCCAACAGCATGTGCTCACTTCCTGTCTTTGTGTCACATTTGGGTAATTCTCGCAGTATTTCAAAATATTTCGTTGTTATTATATCTGTTATGGTGACCTGTAATCAGTGATATTTGATGTTACTGTTGTAATTGCTTTGGGGTGCCATGAACCACACCCATGCAAGACGGCAAACTTAATCGATCGATATTGTTTGTGTACTGGCTGCTCCACTGGCCAACCATTCCCCCAACTCTCTCCCTCTCCTAGAGCCTCCCTATTCCCTGAGCTATGACAATATTGAAATTAGGCCAATTAATAACCCTACAAAAACCTCTAAGTGTTCAAGTGAAACAAAGTGTCTCAATTCTCTCATGTAATATCAAAAGCTAGAAATGATTAAGCTTAGTGAGGAAGGCATGTTGAAAGCTGAGATAGGCCTAAAGCAAGTACTCTAGCAGTAAACCGTAGTCAAGCTGTGAATGCTAAGGAAAAGTTCTGGAAGGAAATTAAAAGTGCTCCTCCAGCTAAAGCATCAACAATAAGAAAGTGAAACAGACTTATTGCTGATAAGGATGATATTTTAGTGGTCTGTATAGATCAAACAAGCCACAACATTCCCTTAAACCAGAGCCTAATCCAGAGCAAGGCCCTAACTCTCTTCAATTCTATGAAGGCTGAGAAAGGTGAGAAAGCTGCAGAAGAAACTTTTGAAGCTAGCAGAGGGTGGTTCATGAGGTTCAAGGAAAGAAGCCATCTCCATAACACAAAAGAGCAAGGGGCAACAGCAAGTGCTGATGTAGAAGCTGCAGCAAGTTATCCAGAAGATCCAGCTAAGAGAATTAATGAAGGTGGCTACACTACACAACAGATTTTCAATGTAGACAAAACAGCCTTATATTGGAAGAAGATGCCATCTAGGACTTTCACAGCTAGAGAGGAAAGTCCATGTCTGACTTCAAAGCTTCAAAGGACAGACTGAGTCTCCTGTTAGGGGATAATGCCGCTGGTGATTTTAAGTTGAAGCCAACGCTCATTTACCATTCCAAAAATCTAGATCCCTTAAGAATATGGGTAAATCTACTCTGCCTGTGCTCTGTAAATGGAACAACAAAGCCTGGATGACAGCACATGTGTTTACCACATGGTTTACTAAATATTTTAAGATCACTGTTACAGATCTATTGCTCAGGAAAAAAAAATTCCTTTCAAAATATTACTGCTATTTGATAATGCACATGGTCACCCAGGAGCTCTGATGGAGATATACAAGGAGATTGATGTTTTCATGCCTGCCAATACAATATCCATTCTGCATCCCATGGATCAAGGAGTAATTTCCATGTTCAAGTTTTAGTATTTAAGAAATACATTTTGTAAAACTATAGCTTCCATAGACAGTGATTCCTCTGATTGGATCTAGGAAAAGTAAATTGAAAATATTCCAGAAAGACTTCATCATTCTAGATGATATTAGAAACATTCATGATTCATGGGAGGAGGTCAAAATATCAATATTAACAGGAATTTGGAAGATGTTGATTCTAACCCTCAAGGATGATTTTGAGGGGTTCAAGACTTCAGTGGAGGAAATAACTGTAGACGTGGTGGAAATAGTAAGAGAACTAGAATTAGAAGTGGAGGCTGAAGATGTGACTGAATTGCTGCTATCTCATGATAGAACTTTAATGGATGAGGAGTTACTTCTTAGAGATGAGCAAAGAAAGTGCTTTCCTAAGATGGACTCTACTCCTGGTGAAGATGCTGTGAACATTGTTGAAGATTTAAAATATTACATAAACTTAGTTGATAAAGCAGCACCAGGGTTTGAGAGGATTGACTCCAATTTTGAAAGAAGTTCTACTGTGGGTAACATGCTGTCAAACAGCACTGCATGCTATGGAGAAACTTTTCGTGAAAGGAAGAGTCAATTGATGTGGCAAACTTCACTGTTGTCTTATTTTAAGAAATTGCCACAGCCACCCCAACCTTCAGCAACCATCACCCTGATGATCAGTCGGCCACCATCAACATTGTGCAAGATCCTCTATCAGCAAAAAGATTGCAAAGTGTTGAAGGCTTAGATGTTGGTTGGCATTTATCAGCAATAAAGTATCTTTTAATTAAATTATTTGCATTGTTTTTTTAGACATAATGCTATTAAACACTTAATAGAATACAGTATAGCATAAAATAACTTTTATATGCCCTGGAAAAGCAAAAACTTCATGTGACTTGCTTTATTGCCATATTCGCTTTATTGTAGTAATCTGGAACTGAACCCACAACATGTCCAAGGTATGCCTGTATTATCTGTGTGACATTAAACAATTATTTCAAGTTTCTAAGGTTTGCTTCTTTGTTTGTGAGAATTAAATGATATAATACTGCCAAAATCTATCACCTACCTACCAATTTTAAACTGTTTCCTTATTAGTTATGGCTCTATAATTATGATTATGATAGTATGTTCTTTAAACCTGTAGCTCTAGGATTTAACAGATTGCCTAGTAAAATTGGATTTTGATCAAATGCTTTTAAGTTCCTTGGTTGATAATTATTTTTCCCACTATTCCCTTTGATCAGGGCCAAGACAAAGGCTAGTCAGTGAGGCTCCTAAGGCCCATAATTTCAGGAGGCATCAGGGCCATCCTTGCAGTTGCACAATCCTGAAAGTGAGTGCCTCTTTAAATTTCGCATCCCAGGCGCCTCTTGCCTCACCCTGCTTTTCATCTCTCCATCCTAATAGATTTGCATCTTGTCCACTAAGCAGAGCAGAAGTATGGTGTTGTGGTTAAAAAAAAACAAAAGAAAAATCCTTTGCAAGGGAGTTCATTCCAACTCATAGCCACTCTATAGGACAGAGTAGAATTGCCCAATAGAATTTCCAAGACTGTAGATCTTTACAGAAGCAGACTGCCATGTCTTTCTCCCATAGAGCAGCTGCTAGGTTTAAACCTCTGACCTTTTGGTTGACAGCTGAGCGCTTAACCACTGCACCACCAGGGACTCATGCCACACTTAAAGAATAGTATTTCCCTGATGGATTGGAAATGATTTATAGCTCCAACAACATAGAGCTGTGTGATGGATTCATGCAAGGTAATTAATCTTACCTTATCAATTTGTTCATCTGTAAAATGGCTAACAACTATACTAACATTTAGGGTTGATATGTGAATTAAATCTTTTAATATAAGTAAAATGCCATGAAGAAGAACTGGCATTTATAAAAGACTATTATTATTGTTATATGTTATTATTATTATTAACAGTTACTTAGTACTGTTATGATCCAAATACTATTATTATTGTT